AATATAATCATGTAAGATCTTATTGTGAAGATTTAATTGTAACGAACATAATGGTGTAATTGGATTGTAAATCGGATAAGTAATTTGAGAGAAAACTTTATAAGAAGGAAGAAAAAGACACACATATCTAAGAGGAAAAACAACACGCACATCAGCACGTGTAGTAGTAATTCTTCTCACAATTTGATCGTCGCTGGTTAACACTAAACCGAGAGACTTCTCGGTTTAGATTTTACCAAGAAAAAGATAAACCCATGTCTAGATTTATACCCAGGGTTTGTCGTTTTTGGGATGCATGTTCAGATTCATATCTAGAGTTTGTCTTTTTTTTAAGGACGAAGGGAGTAGTCTGCAGCTAATGGTAGAGGTAAATTTCATCTAGTAATGTATGGTAGAACGTATTGGGAATACTTGAATTTATCCTTCCTATGCTTACAAAAAAAATTTGGCATGACTATTGGAAAGGGAAAACATTTCTAAAATATGCCTTTTATCATACAAATATATTTCAACAATGCAATCTTCATTGGTCAGCATTTCTGGAACACAACATGAAGAAAAGGTACACATGCCAAACAAATGAAAGATTTGCTCTATTAAAAAAGACAATTTGAATTACTAGGAAAAACTGATAATTCAAATTTACGACTTTTGAACACCTTCTTATTATTAAATGTTCATCGAACGATGAAAAAAAATACTTCACGTTGATTTTCTATTTAGGGGAAATTTTAGAGTTGTGTTTTTCTGCTAGGGAATAGATGGTTCTCCAAGTTAGCCCTTATTTGTCAGACTGCAGGAAACGTTCGATCTGCAGATAAGAAATACATGATCAAAACTAGAAAAGATTCAAGTGGCATGGGAATATGTGGAGGAAATTTATAGAATATTTGTGAGGAGATGGAATATGAAGGATTTGGATTTAAAGCTAGAGACAGAATATGGGATTCTTGAACCTTGTTTAGAAGGGATAAATTGAAAAAATGTTTAAATTGAAGAAAGGCGAGATTTGAAAATTGGGATCATACTAAAAGGTATTTTTCTATAAATTGGTGAGAATAATAGAAAGGCTTAAAATTCATAAGTTCTACTCAAGAAATAGAATGAAAAAGCAACAATGGTGCAATTTGAAATATTTAAATTCTAAGGATGTAACCATACTGATTAGATAAGGCATGGGGAAGGGACCCGAAGGACCGCTTCCAATCCATTGCATGATTCTTCTCGAATTCATTGGTGAGCATTCCGGGAATACAACATGTTGAAAAAGGTACACGTGCCAAACAAACGACAGGCTTGTGGCCTGTTCACTTTGATGCCAAAAAAACCTTACCAAAATTTGGCATTACCAAAATTTTGGCATAGTTGCCAAAATTTTGCCAACTTACCAAAATTTTGGCAGAATTTCTTATATAGTTACCAAAATTTAGCAGCAAACTAAATGTAGCCACTTTTTTTTGGCAACTTTACCAAAATTTGGTAAGGTTGAAAATGGCATCAAAGTGAACATGCCCTTGGTTTATTAAAAAGAGACAATTTAAATTACTAGAAAAAAACTGATAATTCAAATTTATGTCTTTTGAACACCTTCTTATTATTAACTGTTCATCGAACGATGGAAAAAAAGGCTTCACGTTGATTTTCTGTTTAGGGGAAATTTTAGAGTTGTGTTTTTCTGCTAGGGAATAGATGGTTCTCCAAGTTAGCTCTTATTTGTCGGACTGCAGGAATAGTTCTGCAAATAAGAAACACATGATCAAAACTAGAAAAGAAGCACAAAATGAAACCAGACATCTAGGAACAAGCGGTTGAACCGTTGAAGATTCACCAAATCGAGAATATGGCATCTCTACCAAATCGACAATATAGCATCTCCAAGGCTTCGAGATAGTACTAGATAATAAATCTGCTTTCCAGGTCGTGTTGATAACAGATCTGCTTGGTTAACTTCCTAAGTATCTGTCTATGTTGCTATGAACAGAACACAATCATGTGCCTTGTGTTCTGGCGAAAAAGGTTACTATCATGTGCGGATTGCATATTTCCAAGTCTTTGGCTTCATTAATTTTGGCCCTGGTCACAGATGATGATGTTGGAAGACATACGTATAAGTTAATGTACCATGAAAAATATAAATCTATATATAGGCATTACACAAAAAGTATCATAGTATATATCTTGAGTAGGGAACTATTACAAACTAATTTCATGAAAATCGGTGTTGAGAAAATCGTTGGCTAACAGAATGTCAAGATGAAGTATATAGGCAGTCGCTAATGAACTTGCAAGAGCAGGGTTGGTGATCCGGTATATTAGACTTCCAGTCCCTTAACATTAATTTGCTGTATCCATTTTGAGATTTTTAAGGACTTGACGAGAATTTTAATGGAAAGAACATCATGCATGATAAGAATGAGAATGGGTTTAATTTCAATCTTGTTGGCATCTGGTAAAATTCAATATCAAACCAAGAACAATCCTGTGAAATATAAGCACTAATCAATTGCTAGAACTAATTTTCCCCTACTCATAGAGAGAGGAATTTGGCTTAAAGATCCGTACTATGTAAAGAGGAGTATTGAAGTGAACACCACTAAATAAAAAGAAGTTTAAGGTAAAAGGAATATTTCTTCAATTTTTTTCATCAGTACTTATCATTCTAATCTATAATTCTGACTGCTCCTTTACTATTGACTAGTTTCTCTGCATTTATCTGTTTTTCACGAGCTTGAAACTTTTATAAGCACTTACATATCTTTGGACTGATTACCTGTAGATGCCTAAAATAGTTCAGCCTAGGATGTCTGAACAAGTTGGAACAATAGAGTGGTATAATGGGATAAAAATGACAAAACACTGTACATGGTGAATGATCGAATTTGCTTCATTGTGGGAAATACAGAAATTAATTATAAAATTATTGCATACCTTCATGACGGGCGTCTAGTTCTTTCCACTCGAGGCTGCCCAGCCGTTGCCGCAGGCATGTAGGGAGCACTTTTAGAGCAGGGCATTCCATAATTATAAGCCCTTGGAGGGATGAGTACGCTTGCGGTGAATTGGGTAGTGATGATGATGCCAGGCTTTTGCAGTAACAGAGCGTGAGTTTTACCAACGATGGGAGCTCGCCCGAGTGAGGAGACTCCAGTGATTCAGGAGGAGAGAAGTGGTCCCCAGCTGGTGATGACGGTTCCAACACAGGAGCAGACACAATGTTGTCACTGCAAGGCCCTTCAATTAATGTTGACCCACGTCTCTGCTTGCCGAATATGGACTTAAGCTCAGGGCAACGTCGTATGTGCAAATACTTGAGAGATGGTGGGGTGTTGAAGACCTCTACCAAACTTTTACACTCAATTATTGTTAGTGACTCCAGACGTGTTAGGAGTTGGCCTCCACCTGATGTTGACCGCTCAGGAGCTTGTGCGTATCCCTTCAGTTTGTTGCAGCTCACTATCCCTAATGTCTTCAAGGATACCAAGCCCTGAAATTCTTTCTCCGGCCAGTGGATGAGCACATCGCATCTACAAATTCTCAAAACTATAAGCTGTGCAAAACATGTCCATAGTGCATGTGCACCAGAAAGGAAGAACATGTTGAAGTTATCTAGGCGCATATCTGCCAGAGGGGATTCACCTTTCCAATTCTCATTGTCGTCCACCCACTCAATCAAATTGTGTTCAGCTGGAGGCGCTGTTTCTACACCTTCCTGCAGCAAGCTCAGAGTGGACAATGAAGTAATGTATCTTGGTATGCAAAAGAGCAACTGTTGGGAGCCCTTCGTTATGTGTAAAACACTAAGCTTTCGTGCTTCAGGTAGACTTGCCAACTTTGGACAATCCATAATACGAATGTTCTCAAGGTTAGGGAACATTGGTGTTTTGACATGTGTTGCTTCCACCTGTTGCCATCTGTCGATTTTATTTAACTCAATGAGTTGGAGCTCCTGTGGAAAATTTGGCAGCGCAGTTGGTGTCTTATTGTTGTCGTTGTCACAACTCGGCTGTTCTTGCCTCTCAGTTTTGTCCCACCATCCCTTGAAACTCTTCAGATTTTCTAGTGTGAGCTCTTTCAATTTTGGAAATATTGAACATGTCGTGCTGTTCTCACCAATGCTACACAAATATTGCAATCTATCAAATCCAGCCAGTCGAAGAAGTTGGAGGTACTGCAGCTGCCACAACTGCGGAATATTTTCGCACCTTGTATAACTAGTACTGAGATCAAGCTCTATAAGACCTTCTAACATACTAACCCATGATGGTAATGTTGTACCTTTGTAGGAGGCCACCTTCAGAACCAACAGATTATCATGAGGTCGTAGAGCTTCCATCACCTTGTTATGACTAGAATCTGCTGTTTCATTGCGAGGTTCTTCATTGTCCCATACTAAAGACAATTCCATGATTTTCCTTTTGCTGTCAAGCTTGGTATGTATTGCATCTGACTCTCTTACATTCTGTAGCTGGTGTAGCTCTAGGTGACCGCCAATGTCTAATTTCTGCAGCTCTCCAACATTACTGCATTTAGAGCCAGAACCCACTACAAAACAAGTGAGTGTCTGTAGGGAAGTGAGTTTTCTGAAATCCGGAGGCATGTGCTTCAAATTCAAACAACCATGAGTGTAGAGGTGACGGAGCGAAGTCATGTACTTCATTTGTTTAGGAAGTCGACGGAGGCAATAACAATCAGATAGGTTTAACGTTTGTAAACTATATAGAATGCTTATTTCTCCGGGAAGTGCTTTTATATAAGTTTTTGAGAGATCCAGGTACCTTAGATGATGTAGAATCTTTGGTTTTAGTTGGATCAACCGCATCTCTTTACTCAGTTTCAATGCTCGCACAGAGCTATATTTTGCCAAATGCTGAAATTGTCTATCAACAAGTACATCACATAGAAGTGTTTGGACAGATTGACACCTCTTCTTCATATAATCATTCAACGTAGTGTCAGGCTCATTAGATGACAAAAGTATATGGCGGACAGTACTTGGAAAAAACTCCTTTTGACTAGGATTTTCAGTTATGCTAAAACATTCGTTTCCCATAACAGATAGCGCAACATCGTGCATCAAATCGTGTATCCTACATAACCTTCTATAACAATTCCCATGTTTGCTTCCATATTCCTGAAATGGGACTTGTTTCATGTCTTGGAAGAATGACCTTGAGGCCAACTCATGGAAAATATAGTTTCCAATGGTTTCTAGAGGGACATTTTTTTTCGTCTGGGATAAAGCCATTGGCCATCCATACGTGGATTAGATTGTCTACGTCAATCACATAATCTTTGGGAAACATAGCACAGAAAGCAAAGCATTGTTTCATGTATGAGGGCAAGTCATCATAGCTGAGCTTGAGTATATGTAAAATTCCAGTCTCCTCATTGCATATACTGCTTCTCATTAATATGGCCTGCCATTCTTGCACAGTTTCCTTGGTACGAAGTAGAGAGCCTAGTGCTGTTGCGGCTAATGGAGATCCAACACATCTGTTGACAAACTTATCAATCATTTCAACTTGCTCATTAGGCTTTTCATCCTTTCTCAAACTAAATGCTCTCGTGTCAATGATTTCCTTGATAATGCTGTTCTCCAGAGCAGTAAGGTTATATGCATCAGTTGTCTGCATTAGTTGAGCAACTTGTTCATCACGAGTTGTTGTCAATACTGCACTGCCGATGCTACCATGTTGAAGGGAAGCCTTTAACTTTTCCCACTTATCGGCATCTCTGCTCCAAACGTCATCCAATACAAGGAGGTACCTTTGGCCGCTCACTAATTTTTGAAGCTTCTGCAGTGGCTTGTCCTTGGTCACTTGACTCACATGATAATCTATTTGGTGTTTGCCATCCTCTTTTACTTCCTTGCTCCTATCAGCTAGTTTAACTATATTTTCAGCAATAGAGTCAACATCAAAAGGGTCAGATACGCATACCCATACCAACAACTGGAAATGCTTCTGAATTTCACTGTCGTTGTAAACTAGTTGCGCTAATGTTGTCTTGCCCAGCCCCCCTATTCCAACTATAGGAAGAACCAAGAGATCCGGGCTGCTAGCTTGACCAAGGAGAATATTAACAATTTTCAGTTTTTCTTGGCTTCTTGATTTGCTAATAATGTTTGTTGGGTCAAAGATCTCAGAATCAGTTTGCCTCCACTGCATGGAAACTAAAGGCTGAGGTTGGAATCTGAACCTAAAGGCATTCATCTCCGTGACAAGGACTTCAATGTCATGCACAATCTTGCAAAGTCTTTTGTCCATCCTGTACCGGAACATGACACGGTTGTGAGTAGGAAAGAGTTTTACCACATCGAAGCCGAGCGCGGTGTAGTGCCCATTCTTCTTGGCTTCTCGCCAAAGAGCCTCATACTTGAACTCGTCGAAGATGTCATTTGCTTCGTAGGCCACCGTCTTGAGCTCCTCGAGCCAGGCTTTCGCTCCTTCTCTTTGTTCTGACGCCTGCTTCTCAGCGTCGGAGATGACGTCCAGGATGGCCGGCAGCTTGCGCTTCAGGATCTTGTGCTGCTCTTCCAAGCCCTCCATCACCCTGTACTCCTGTAGGAGGTAGCTGGAGACCTTATCCTTCACCATGGACAGCAGTGGCTTGACCACGATGCTGGTCACCACCTCCGCCATTTTTGCACGCTCGCAGCCAGAGGTACGCACAAGCAGAAGGATGAGGAGAGCAACCACACTTCGAATTGCACAGCATCAATTCGACGACTCTCCTCTCCTTTTATCTTTCTTCTTTCCTCAAGCATCCTACAGAGTGTCTCCAATTAATTAATATTTGCTGCCATCTTTGCTGTGAGAGAATAACTTTTTTGGGGATTGATCCTTCTAACAAGGCGGCCCTGTTTCTTTATTTTTATTTTTTTGAAACAGAGGTGGCTCTGGAATCTTGACGACATTATGAACATTAGGTATACTATAAAGTTTTTTTTCTCTCATTTAAACAAATCAAGAAGACAGTGCTACTTTGTAGAATTGCGAAGAAGCTACATCATAGTATTTATGATATGGTTTAGGTATATATGCAAAGTGATCCCTAGCTTGATTCTTTTTCTTAGTTGGGCAAGAGTAAACCATGGATCAACTTCTCGGCCAGGTTACTGCTGGCCTGCCGCTCGATCGAGATCGTTACCGCTGCCTGCGCCGGTGGACGAGTCTCCCCTGCACACCACATCCGGCCAGAAGGACAGAGGCGGAGCTAATAAGGATTCAAGGGCTGGCAATGCAACTTGCGTGGGGGGTTGTATATGGATGGTGTTTGCTCCGTGTTATTCAGTGATGAGATTATTTGGCAATTGGCACTTGGACAGGCCAGCTCTGCTACGTTTAGTCTACTCCCTTCGTCCCAAAAAAAAAACTAACCTAGATAAGGATGGAACACTTTATAGTACAACAAAAGTGTACCTAGGTTGGTTTTTTTGAGATGGAAGGAATAGCTGCTATGTCGGTTTTGACCTGTCGGGAGGAATATCTGTCTTCTCCGACCTTCTACATGATTCTGGCCGATCCTGGATCGACAATCCGACGGTATATATGGATGGTAGGAATGCTTCAACTGCAGAGGTTTAGGCGCTAGTCGTCTGTGGAGTCGATTCAAATTCGAACCTAGCCCCCACGTCATTCTCTGTAGGTAGCTGACAGTTGAGAAAAATAATAAAAGGATTTCGAAATTAGCACGTGAATTGGGAAAACTTAAAAACCTACCTACAGAAAATTTTAGCTCCAAGTTGAGTGAACCAAATTTTCCTAGAAAATTTCAGGTTTACAATTGGACCGTGCTGTGTTTGAATAAATAGTAGAACTTTCATTTTCAGCATATTGACACTTGTAAATTGCATATCTTTCCAAACAACTATAAAATTAGTAAAAATTTCTTCATAAACAATATACTATTCAATGTGTAACATCTCATGAATTTTAAAGCATTTCCCATTTCCATGTTTCTTTGGTATTAATTTTTAGCTTTTTTTCCCCTTGTAGATAGATATCCACCCCCTCAAAGAATTTTGACAAAGAACCTGTGATAAGTCTGAATACAAACATAAAGCATCTATGTATATCGAACCTATATTGAACTGAGTGCTTAGCCGTGCTAAAGTATAGTAAAGTTCAAAGCAAATGCTTAGCCATGCTAAAGTATAGGAAAGGCCAAGAAAATGGATAAAGCCATTAGACGTACCTTTCACTTGTGAGCAATTGAATATTATACGAAGACTAATCATGTACCTAAAACTTTGGATTAAATCTAGAAAGTACTCCCTCCATCCCAAAATGTTTGACGCCGTTGACTTTTTTAAAAATAAAATGTTTAACGCCGTTGACTTTTTTAAAAATATTTAACCATTCGTCTTATTAAATTTTTTAAGTAATTATTAATTCTTTTCCTATCATCTGATTTATTGTTAAATATACTTTTATGTATACATATAGTTTTACACATTTCAGAAAAAAAATTTGAATAAGACGAACGGTCAAACATATTTAAAAAAGTCAACAGCGTCAAACATTTAGAAAAAGAGGGAGTAGTAAATAGTGTTCATCGGGGCCAACCGGCCAACTTGTCGGTTTCTGTTTTCTTTTTCTTTCTTTTCTCTCCGCCTTCCTCCTCCTGATCCCCTCTCTCTTTCTTGCTGCAGGCCGTGGCTAGGGTTGGGGATTCCAATGGCTGTGATGGCCGTGGCCAGTGCGGATTGGGAAGGAGGCTGCGCACGATTGCGGCGAAGTATATATACCCCACAGTGGAAGGGCTTATTGTGCCAGCGGCAAGGTCGGTAGCTGAGAGTGGGCATGGCGGATGGGTGGTGGGCTGGTGGCTTCCGTGTAGAGTAGTTAAGATTAAATTGATGTCATGGGAAGCTCTAGCCTCTAGGTGGATGATGATGACAACTCATTTTTGTGGTTGGTTGTTTGGTTGTGACGGAGGAGGCCGGCCCAGAGGGTTGGTAGCTGACGGAGCGTGGGGCTCCTCACCGGGAGACCGCGCAGGCCCCCCTTTGCCGGTTCGGCCGGGGGCGCTAAGTGAGGTTCTTCGCCCTCGATCTGAGGAACGTCAGCGAGAGAAGAAGCGCACAAGACGCGGGCGACGTAGACAGGTTCGGGCCGCTGAGAAGCGTAACACCCTACTCCTGTGTTCTTGTGGATCTGTGTGTGAAGGAATACAGAGAGCCAGAGAGCGAGAGAGAGTTCAGGCTCCCGAACCCATTCGCCCCTTCTTTTCTTTTTATCTGGTTAGGGGTCACCACATGGGCCTCTCGCTGCCTAAGAAAGGAAACATGCTTTTTACAATGAGGGCTAATCTACAGCCGGAAGTGACCTCTGACAAGCAGAGCATACGCCTCCTGCCCCGCTCGCCAGCTTTCCCGGTGGACGCCCATTTCAACCTTCATTCAATGGCCAGCGACTTCCTTGCCATGCTTGTGCTGAAGCCTGGAATGGATCTGACCGGGACTGACATACCAACTCCAGGAGTTAGCACGCCGGCTCCGGCTAGGGACGAGAGCCAGGAAGCTCTCATCATTCCGACGGGACGGGGCGAGGCGTGTGACAGGCCGCCTGTTGCCACCTAACCCGCGATCTGACCGGTCTGTGACCGGTCACACACCGCGACTGGTCACGGACCGGATAAGCGTGCGCTGCGCTGCATTAAATGCGGCGTGGCGCGCTCGTCCAACCTGCTATAAATGCGGTTAGGTGAGCACCGCTGTGCTCACCTAACCCACACATGTGGCGCCAAAACCACAGGGGGTTGGGGCGCCCCAACCCTCGGGGCCGAAACGGGAGCGGCCCGACCCCTCGGGGAGACAGAGGGAGGGGTGGCCACGTCACCCTCGGGCCCGACCCCCCCCGAGGGGGTCAGGCCACGTGGGTGACCGCGGCTACCCAAGCCTCTAGTCACGATACCCCCGGCCCCATGTCACCGACAGCAGCCATGGCGCCGGACAGAAAAACTCAACCGAGAAGGGATGATGATGTGGTTGTTTACACCCAAATTTGGCACCTAGAATTAAAATAGGAAATATTGCCGAAATTTGGAAGTCTACCGGTTTCCTCCGAAGTGGGCCGGTCTGACCGCCGTGTGTTGGGCGGTCAGACCGGCGGTGTGTGGCCGGTATGACCGGCAGGTCTGAGTCCGACTCTGTTTCATCGGGTCTCAAAGTTTCCTTGCTCGGAAAGGCATGTTTCGGGTTTCCTTTGGTTTCTACCCCGAGTTGGACGTGGAGGAGGGCCTATAGAGGGCAAGACCAACCCCTATATAAGGGACATGGCCGGTTCATTGTAAAAAATCAATCTACAATCAATCAATCGAATCGTTTTTCATATTGCTTTTAGTTTTCTCTTAGTTTGTCCATCTTTGTCGGTTTGCGCCGTAAACCGTCCGCCGCCGCTGCGAGAGTGCGACATCTCTTTGTAGGTTTGTCATGAAAACCTTTCGTTTTGCCCACGAGATGGGTAGCTATCTAGAAATCGGCTCCACTAGCCGGTTTAGTTATCAAAACCCATCTAGGTTTAGCTCTTTGCTAGATCGAGGTGGTTGGCGACTCTAGGATCACCGCAAGGCTTAAGGTGCTGCGATCGTGCTTGTCAACTTGTCAAAAAAGTTGCCAACACGATTTTTGGCGACTCCGCTGGGGAGGAGATCCGTTCATCGTCAACTCAACTTCGACTTCGCCATGACGAAGCCGCCATCCAAGACGGAGGTGGAGCCATCTAATGTGATGCCGGTCACATTGGATGACTTCGAAGGAGAAGATCGCAAAGCTATGGAGGAGTACATCAATGAGCTCACACGGGAGGCGTTGATGAGAGCAACTACTAGGACTCGTCAAGGCGTGATCATCAAGCCCGGGCCACGTCCCAAGCTCGCTCCCGACGTGGTAAGTAATGACGAGGTATCACAATCTATCCAACAACAAATTGCATCTACAATAGATTCATCTATGGCTAATTTTAAAGATAGATTTGATGTAATGTTTAAGGATAAAGTTGATGGGTTTTTAAGGAGTAGGCTCGGTTCTTTTATGGATGATTACACATTAAAGGATAAAGCCTATACCACTGTTGATCAACCTCCTATAGATACAATGGGTAGTAAAACCGATGGAACGGCATTCACGGTCGGTCCGACCGGGCCTGACAGCCAGTCAGACCGCGACATAGCCGTCGGTTCGACCGGCCAGACGGCCGGTCAGACCGGGTATTACCCCAGCGGTCAGACCGGCTTTCAGGCTGGTCCGACCGCACATCATGACGCCGGTCAGACCGGGCCTTGGGCCGGTCAGACCGGCGCAATTGTCCCAATACAGGGTATAGATCCAATGACTAATGCTAATTATTTGTACCACTTTAGAACATTTGATCCTCCTGTATCTACTGCTACAAGTAATCCTCATGTTCCCCCACATATTCCTAATGCTTATAATGATGCTTCTAGGGGATATCCTCGCGATACTAGACAAGGCCAATATAATCATATTGCGCCACAAACACATCCTATTAGGCCACCAAACCCACTGCCAAATCCATAAGAGCCTAATAACATGGAGGATATGATTAGTGATATTATGAGTAATAGATTCGGGATTGAAACTAGGAATCGTGCTAGAGCTTACAAAAAGCCATATCCTGATTATTATGATAATGTGCCGTTTCCTCGAAATTATAGAGTTCCCGAATTTGCTAAGTTTAGTGGTGAGGATGGTAAGACCACATGGGAGCATGTAGGTCAATTTTTGGCGCAATGTGGTGAGGCTAATAGTGATACTTTTAAATTGCGCTTGTTTTCTTTATCTTTATCCGGTAATGCTTTTACATGGTTTACTTCTTTACCGGCAAATTCTATTCATACTTGGGCTCAATTAGAAGAACAATTTCA